CTCTCTCTCTCTCTCTCTCTCTCTCTCTCTCTCTCTCTCTCTCTCTCTCTCTCACACACACTCGTGGTCGAATTGATAATTCCACCCGTATAGGATTCTAAGCACAACGTGTTTCCATATTACAGTTATATGGGGCAAACTAAAGCTTTGCACGAGCAGAAGGTTGATGTGTTCCGTTTATCTCTCTCTCTATATATTGCGAAAGAATACAGCGAAAAGAAAGAAATGTCAGAATATTCCTTTAGGGCCGTTAGGTGTATTCCTCTGAGATACGTTAAACATGTCGTAAGAATATTGCAATTAAAAAAGAGAGAAGTTTTATCTCCAAGAGCAGTGGATTAATTTTACGAGTATCTCGAAACATTTTCTCCCTGCACTGAAAGAAACACACCTAGTATTTGTAACTGCAACTACATAGAAAAATAATTACTATAAATTATGGTCAAGAAAACTATAACCTTATGTGCATATTACTACTACCATTTTCGTATTATAACAATCAAAAAACATGATCAGAGCTAAAAACAACTATAATTTCAGTTAGGTCAACCATTTTTTTTTTAACAATTCTTGAATATTTAATGATAGAAATAATCCTTGAACAATCTAAATTCTTTTTAATTTTATTATGTTTCTAGTAGAAAGAAGAGAGAAGGAATAGACAGATTAATCTTGCTAAGAGAAATATAGTAAATTCCACTGAAAACATAGCAATTTTTTTAATAACACGTTTCAACATGTCCCTAAAATATAAGTAGCGCATATGAAAATTGAAAGTACAATAAACTACTATCGGCAGAATGCCGATCTATTCCCCGATTACAAAATTCCATAGTAATATTTACCATAAAAAATATTAAAGGTTTTAATTTCGCGAAGAGTCAGCATTTTATAATAAAATTATTAATATTCAAATTAGTAATCTACAAATTCTCTCCTGTGTGTAATATTTTTATCTGCATATTTTAATCTGTCGAGATATACAAACAGACTGTATCGTAGTAACTTCCGCCTCCGACAACGAGCGCGTTTATTCGTTTAATGGTGTTTCAATTATACCAACTCACTCCGCCGCTCCTCTCTCTCTCTATCTCTGTATCTCGAATATCCACCAACGTGCCACGTGACGCTTGTCTCACGATTTCATTGACTGGATTCGAGCGCGCTCTCCTCTATCGATCTATCGCCTGCTATCGCGGCTGCAGCACGCGA